GCGCTGGCAGCTATGGATCGATCCGTGCGCCCGCCAATTGATTCGGCGCACGGATCCATAGCTGCCAGCGCTGCATACTGTCGTAGGACGTTCCCGCGGTCGCGTGCGCCTTGCCGCGGAATTGCGCGCAACATCTGCGCTTATAGCGCTTGGGATCAACACCTCCTTTCGGCAACGCTTCTCTAGTATCCCGTCTCATCTGGATTAGATACGATTTAGTGCAACAGACATAAACTGCAATATAAACTTTACATAGCCTATCAGTAGCAAATTGTGTTATTATAAATGTGATAATGTGTAAATGTGCAAATATAATAAGATGTGCGCGTGACGTGTGACGCTCGTGGGCTCACTCTGACTTCTGACCTCTGACCTATTATTTTGCCTGCAGATTATCTACGTGATCCGCAATATAAAAGACGTCGCCGTGTCCGCTTTCGTCATGTTAAGATAGTAGGGTCAGGTTTGGAGGGAGTCACTGGCCTGGGAAACGCGCATGCTTTGACTATGCGACAGTACCTGGAAAGAATGGCGGGCGACCAAGGTGACGCATAACTGCCGAACGTCCGCTGTCTTATCGCTGTATTGCTAATTGCTAGTAATTAGTACTGTCACTAATTATTGTGTAAATTACTAGTAACTACTGTGTTACTAATTAACTACTGCAATAATTACAAGTTATTACTGGTTTACCAACTGCTGCTGTATTTCTATGAAAATGTTCGCGTTCGCGCACGTGCGCACGTGTGTATTAAAAAATAAGAAGTAAATAGATGCGAATATATATATATATATATAATTGTTTTACCTGTTCGCAGTAGTATATGGCAACTATTTCTCGCACAATCTGGATTATTGGGAGCAGAGGAACAACGGCCATGTTTTATTTCTCTTCTACGAAGATCTAGTTGAGGTCAGGTTAATGTCTATGTCGTGCATTGAGTTACATTTTATTATTATTACATTCATATTTCTTTTACGTTTTTTTCTTCCTGCTCTTCCTCTTCCTCTTCATGTTCCTCTTCTTCTTGCTTTTCAATCTTCACCGTCTTCTCCCTCCCCATTTCTCCCCTTCCGTCCTTCCCTCTCTCCGATCTCCTCACACCTCCCTCTCACTCATGGTTATTCCCCTCCCCCCTCCCTCCTCTCCTCTCCTTCCTCCCTCCCTTCCCCTCCCTCCTTATAACCGCCTGCCCTTCTCGTCGTCCTCTCCCTCCTCCTCGTCCTCTCCCTTCTCGTCGTCCTCTCCCTCCTCCTCCAAGTCCTCTCCCTTCCTCCCTCCTTCTAACGTCCTTCCCAGTCCTCTCCCTCTCGATCTACCTCCTCCTCACCGTCCTCTCTCTTCCTCCCTCCTCCTCGCCGCCTCGCTGCTCTCTGCCCGTCATGCGCACGCCTCACGCCGTACGTGTCTGATCGCGCGCAGGACCTGGCAGGGGGTGTGCGTCGCATCGCCGACTTTCTAGACAAACAGCTGAGTGACGAACAGGTGGCGACCATCGTAAACGAGACAGGCTTTGATCGTATGCACACCAATCCGCTCACGAACTGGGAGTTCTTCACGGAGACGGGACTGCGAGATGCTGCCGCACTACCGCTCTTCGGCAAAGGTAGGGGGCGCCAGTAGCGGCGTGTACGGAGACCAGCGAGGACGACTGTATTCGTACCGACGTCTTGTACATTGTCATACAGGAGTCGCTGACGTCATCGCGTGCTATCGGGAGTGAATAACATAACAAAACTAATCATTTGTTTAAATACACTACTGCTGCTGCATGCTGCTGCTGCTGCTGCTGCTGTTGTTGCTGTTGTTGCAGCTGCTGCTGCTGTGATGAACGACATCAGTAACTGTAGGCTATAGTAATCTCATGCGACGCCAAGAAGCACCAGTAGAATCATGTGCTATCGTGTGTATTTAAATAATACTAATTATTATTGTGATAATTCGTACGTTAGTTGATTGTGTTTTTGTCCTTCTGCGCTGATCAATCAAACGTTATTAGTAGCGCGCAGTGTTTTCGTAAATTTATTATTATTATTTTTATTATTATTATTAAATCTTTATTGCATATAATCAGGAGCGTATAATGACAAATTTTATAGGCGTATATTTTTCATTATACGCTCCTAATATAATTTAAATACAAATACATGTACTGACTTTTTCATGGAGAAAAAATCTGATAAATGCATTATAGTGTTGAGCAGTTAAAATAATAAAATCGAGCAGTTAAAATAATCGACGAGATTAAGAACCTACGAGATTATTTATGCATAATCGAAACACCAATTATTGGTAATTCGGCTAGGTGACACACTAGAATTACATCTCGAATATGTAATTTTAGTGTGTCACCTATAGCCGATTATTTATTCGTAATTTCTCTCGACAGGAAAAGTTGGCGACTGGAGGAATCACTTTGACGACGATATGAGCGACTTCGCGGACGCCCTCTGTAGGAAACTCGTCTAATCACCTAGGTCTCGACCAATCAGCGCGCAGGATTTCCTATAATCACTCGGGCGATGATACTAATTAACAATTATTCTCCGAAGGCGAAGTGAATCTTGTTGAATAATCCCCGAGACCAAGTCGAGGGGATTATTCAACAAGATTCACCGAGCCTGAGGCGAATAATTGTTTTAGTATCATTGCCCGATATTTGGTACTTTTGGGGACAGCATTTTCTTTAAATTTGTCAATTTCGGCTTCCGTAACATTTACAAATCTAGCCGCCATTTTTGGCGCCACTACAATGTAAATCCTAGAGGTGATTATCGAAAAATAATCACCTAGGTCTCGACCAATCAGCGCGCAGGATTTCATATAATCACTCGGGCGATGATACTAAATAGATATATTACCGGGTCGTGCAACACAACACTTTCGCAGCCCATCCGGGAAGAGGGGAGGGAGGAGAAGGGGTGACCGCGATGAAAACAGAACGAATGAAGCGCGAGTGAAAGCAGGAGTGAGAGGGAGAGAGAGCGAGAGAGAGAGAGAGAGAGATGGAGAGTGAGTGAGAGAGAGGGAAAGAGCGAGAAGAGGAAGAGAAGAGAGATAATGTGAGAGAGAAAAGATCGCTCGAAAAATCAGAGATAGAGAGTGAGAGAGAAGAAGAGAGAGAAGGAGGGGGCGGAGGGAGAGGCAAAGAGTGACAGACGTGCGAGCAAAACCTCTGCAACCTTTTCGTAATTTCCTCATTGGGATGATTTCCGCTTTCCTTCTCTTTAACTTCCGGAAGCCCTGCACTAACTGCAACCGAAAACCTCGTTCCAAGTTCCGCGCTCATGCAAGCTATTCCCTGCGATAGAGGATCACGTCGCCCTTCTTCCAAATATCCTCTTTCTCTCCTCCCTCTCTCACCCCCTCTCTGTGCGTGCAAGCATATACATACGCGCGCGCACATACACACACACACACACACACACACACACACACACACACACACACACACATACACATATATATATATATAGAACATCGCATCGTGGTCTTGCTTCATAGCCTGTAGCTGTAGCTAGCTTGTGAAGAATCTGCTTTGGAGAGAGGCGCGGTGTGTCGGGAGAGGAAAATTGTTCATCACTGTTTCGTCTGTCGTTTAGGATAAAAGTGGTACGTATGTGTACGCGAGTGCGTTTGCGTGCGTGTGTACGTAGGTGTGTGTGTATGCGTGTGCGTGTGCGTGTGTG